TCAGACATGTTATTTGTGATTTTTTTGTGCAAAATTTAACAACAAAATCATTTGAAAAGCAAAATCATTAATAATCGAGACATTACTTTATATGGGAAAAGGTGTTTCACTATACGAGTAAAAAACCGTAAATTTTAGAACGGATTAACAATTTTATATATATTCAATAATAATATTCAACAATATATTAAAAGAAGTTTCAATCCAATTTATTATATAAAAAATAATCTTATTAGTGAATATTATTCTATTTTTATACTTAGCATCGTCACTATCTTTATTATTCTTATTTTGATCAAATTAGAACCATTTTCCTGTGTGTTAGGTATGTGTTACGTATTAACTTCCAAATGCTCATGTACAGTATGCAACCAATCATACTGCAGTAAAAATATGTTGTATCATGGTAAATGTATATAGTACATAGCATTTGTATATCACAAACATTTTTGTATTGTGTTGTAGATAAAAATTGTAAATTCATAATAGCATCATTTACCTATTTACATTTAATGTCTTTTATATAAAAAAAAAATGATTTAGGTGAAGATAAATACATTAAAAGCAGCCATTTTGCCAAGAATTTCCTATTATTTCCCATATTAATAATTTTATTACTTGCAGCAATAAAATTAACAAAACATAAACTCAATATAATAACAAAAATTAGGGCAGAGAGACCTATGGTCAATAGCCCTTTGTATCAGTTGACTTTTTTGTAATTATATAAATTTAATTTGTCTTTTTATTTCTGTATATGGTTTTTTTGTACGACTGATGTGAATAAACATTATTATTATAATATTAAAAAAATTAAATTATACTGCTATAAAGGGCTATTGATCATAGGTTTTATTTACAATATTTTATTAGTCATTTTATTCCAAATCAGGCTAATACAAATTATCTAATAACATTGTTATTCAATAAAATGTTGTTGTCTATATTTAATAACAAATTAATTCATTAAGTTAGTTTGGAATTAAAGTTGAAATTAATATTATAGATATTTTTGTATAATATACAATTAAAACAAATTTAATTTAAAAATTCTTTTTTAACAATTGATACATGTTGTTACTTTGAACATTTTTTTAATATTTTCAACTATAATTTACAATTTATTATTTACATTTATTATATACATTAAAATATTAACTGTGATATAATTATATGTATTTTAGTAAACTAGCAGTAGATGGGGTTAAACGATCGTCTCTCGCACATTCCACTGCATGCGCTGTGAACATCTGCCCAACAAAAACGGCAAACGGTACTCTGGTTTCCCTTCAAAGCGAATAAATCTTTCGCCTTTTACTAAAGATTTCCGTGGAGGGGAACAACTCAAATGAGTCTAATCTGAATTTTTTCAGTGCCCGGCGAAAGCTGGGCCGTAATTTAAATTAAAAATAATCTTTTGGAAAATATTTTTGTTTTTTCCAAATATCATTCAATAAAATTAGTTATGAGTAATTTTCTTAATTGAGCTAAAAACTGTTTTCTTATTATAAACATGTTTTAATTAAGTTTTTTACCGATCCATTAAAGGTAAATTTCTACGTAAAACAATAGTTGTTTCGTTTCTTAGTTACTTGGAGAGTAATTTATTTAACAAAAGGATGCTTGCTAGGATTAAATTTGTCGAGGTTTGTGTAAAACCGGAATTATATTATGCAACAAGTTTTACACAAATTGGATTATACATAACTACACTACGTTATTAAATTAATTTAGGCAACACATGTTACATATTATGTGACCTTCATTGCTTGAGATTGTTGGAGAGTTAATAATTAACCAGAACATACTTTTCAGGAAAATAATATTTCCTTATAATTCCTGCCATCACCAATTTCTTTTAAAAACAACTACTAACCCAAATTTTAGATAAATTGGTGGTCCCAAAATGTGTATTAGACTCTTAATTTGGTTCTGAATTCATCCATTCGTATTGTTTTTTTTATCATTTGTTAGATATATAATGTTACCAGTGGTTTCCAATTTATAATGCAAGTAAGTGTGTGTGACCAACAGATGGCAGCTTCATTTAAGTAAATTGATATTAAAGTTGCCTAAGTGATGTGACTTAGTTAAACACGAGTTACACAATGGAAATATGAAAGTGGTAGGGTCGAGGCGATTGGTCTGCGACGTCCGTTGTTGTCGTGTGCACCTGGTTACTCGAAAGTGTCTTAAGCATATTGGAAATGTAGGATTCCCATACAAGCAGTCAGCAGTCAGTTCATTCAGTGAAGAGGAGGATAGCGCGTTGATTGCGTGTATTTTCAAACGTCCGACATATTAATTCCATTCCGGTTGGCCAGTGAAAATGTATCGAAGTTCGCGCTTCAAAGCCTCCTCACCAGCAGCGAAATAGCCCATCTCCTAGTCAGCCAGAACAATTGAATATTTATAAATATATATATATTTATACGTATAACAGCTCGGATCGTCGATATTGTTGTTGTTTCCATCTATGTTGTTTCGGTGGTCGAGTGCGGGCGCTAATATTAGTTTACAAGTCGAATTGGAGAGTAGTGTCTGAAACTGGGAAATATGAGTTGTTCTTTGCCATTTCGATTTATCTGCACCTGCCTTGCCGTTCTACTTTTTCACATACAGGTAAGAGATACCCCACACTCCCGGACGCGTACTTTCCGATTCATGGAATGGCCAAAAATAAACATAAAACGTTTATATTTACCTTTTTCTCTTCTTTCTTCACTCTCCATTATACCTATATACACTTCAGCAAGTCTCTACTTAATTGTGTGTTACTTTTTTCAAATTTCCGAAAACATTCGTTCAGCCCGAACGCGACAAATTACATAATTATGTTCGAATTCACGGAGCTTACTCAGATCGAATGACTTTCGCTAACTTTTGCAAAATTTTAATTAAAATGCCACTTATTGTATAACACGCTGTATAAATTACATACATGTATAGAGAAATAAATGCCGCGACGCGAAACTGGTTTTCTTGATAGATTATGTTCTCTGCAATTCTATTTTATTCCATTTATAAAACATTTAACATTTCTTCTTTCGAAATTAAATTCTTTTTTTCTCCTCCGACATATTTCGTTTTAACATTACATTCTGTACCATTCTTATACTTATATACAGACTTTAACAACAATTTTACGTACATTTTGTAAGTATAATAAATATTATGTCGAATCCATTTAATACTAAACTTATTTTAAAAGTAAACATATTAAAACAGTATACACATCTCTATCGATTGATTATTTAAGTAATAACATAAACTACTACTTAAAATCATTGGCGTAGAATGTTTCATTTCCAGGAAAATTATAATAATTCCAATGAAATAACATACACTAAAACGTATAGTATACATAGAATAGTATATTTTATAGTACACATTTTTTTGAAAATCTATTCATAGTAAAATTGATAAATATTTCAAATTTGTAACGAATGGTTTTTTTTAATTAGATTAGATTAATCAGATATTATACAAAATTATAAGTATAATTTGTTTCAGGATTAGTTTCAAAACGAAAACTCTTCCCTTTTTATCTTATTTGTTCATCATATTTAACAACGTCAAACCAAATACTCTTATATTTGCTGATCACACGACGCTTCTGTTATCATCACGTCACAATCCAAACATTCTATCGCAAAATCAATATATTGTAAATTAATATCGGAATTACAGTTTATTTATTAATAAACAAACTGTTTTCAAATGATTTAATCATACTGCAATTCCGTAAACAAATTTATATATTTAATTTGAAATTAATTCAAGTTTTGCCGCAGGCAAAACTTAACAGTTTATCGGTCAGTTGTATTGAAATTTAATCTTAAAGCAAAAAATAAATTGCCCAGAAGAGCAGGAAGTGTGTTCTCAGTTTCTTTATTATCTGCGCTATCGTACGGTCAAGAATACATTCTCGTTTAAATTTGAATATTTAAAAGAATCCTTCATTGTTGAACATGATAATTTTTAATTGTTTCCTTGAGATTTTAAATATAAATTGTTACCGCAGAAACGTTTATTTATATATACGTTTACGATAAGAATTAAACGCAGCAATTTTACTCTTTTTATTAAAATACACAATTGTATTTATAAATAAGCAAATATTAGGGATTATATGTTAAAAGAATGTAATAAAAGTAAATTGTATGAATTGTTAGCTTTAATCATCTTATTTTAAAAGTGAATCACTCGAAAGAAAACTCATACAATTGATTCTGCTAATTGTGCACACATCAAATTGTCGCATTGCCTTTATGCATATTTTAAGATTTACTAATAGAAATTCATTAAATGTAATCTTTATACATAGTTCTGACGTTATAATTGAAAAATATGTTTAAAGATAAACATAATTAACATATTCGTAGTATTTTCCGCAATTTGTGCCACTGTCGATAATATTTAATTGGTGTTTGGGATTTTTCCAAAATAACCATTCGACTGTCAACGTAATCCGACAGATGTTGCTTCCTCTGACGTTAAAACGAAAAATCTGAAAATACTATCATACAAATATTTCTATAAATAATTATTAAATACATTCTTTTTGTTTTTTATCATATTCAATGTTCTTAAGTTGATCTGGTATTATGTTGAAAATGTAGCTGCACCAGTTTGGAATAAATGTTGTTTGGAATTTCTGACGAAGGCGACTTTTATAAGACCAACAAAAAAAAATAAAAAGTCAACTCAGAAAACCAGTTTAATTACATACAATGGCGAAATTTCTACATAAAAATGCAAACGATCAACGTTGGCTTTGTGTTCAAAGATTAAAGTTTTTAGGTTTCGAAATTTTGTGTATTTTATCAAGTTTTAACTATTTTATACATTTAGTTATTAAAATAATAATAAACAATGCAGAAATTAATCAAACCTTAAAGTTTAATCCAATCATCGATCACGAAGTTCTAAAAGCAGTGTCGAATAGATTTATGGGTAAAACATGTGTGTGGCATTCAAGAGCTTAACTTGGTATCTATTACTACTTCTTACGTCTTCTATTCTCCATTTGGACCCTATATTATCTTATCTTTGATGTACTATGAAGCAACACTGATCTGTCGTAAACTTTTCGACTCGAACATTTGGATAATTCATATGCATGATTACGTCGTATGTCATAGATTCAATTAAGCTTTTCGTTTCTTTCAATATACTTTCCAGATATTTATTTAGATTTTATATCGACTAAAACATGTTCTTTAAATCAATTTTATACTCAAATACTTATTATTTAGGTAAGCATTTACTTAAACATGGAAATGTGCCTACTGTATGTTTAAAATGTGCAATAATTCTATTGTTTGTAATTATCATCGCTATTTTAAGTATTGCATAATTAAATACTAAATACTAGATTTCCCAGAAAGTTGATGTTAAACGTTTTTTTTTTATATTCTCCGAACATCTCACAACTAAAATGGATGGACATGATTAAAAAAAAAATGTATTTTCGAAATATTACACGAACATATTTACATAATTTATGGCAATTACTTATTTCGCACATATTTATCAGGAATTTAGACGT